CATACGGAAGCCCCCTGACAGAATGGGTAAGAAAGGAAATCAGGAAATTTAACACAGATTTAGAAATTAATTCCAGGGAAACACCTTCAAATTTGCAAATGTTGGATGTGCTTGTAAACAAGCCCTTAAGAGTCATTATGGAAAAAAATATATAAGTGAATATGGGTATAGGATGAATGATGTAGTGTGATTAGATACTGAAGCCTGGAAAAAAATTCCCAGTGACAATGTCATATATAAAGTCAAAATTTAGGTGGAAGTAAAGATAATCTGTCTTGGGAAACCGTGTCAGAGACTCAAAATGAGACTCTGGTGATGATAAAAACACTGTGAAGAGTTTCTAGAAAATTGTTTTAAAAATTATATTTCATTAATAGTTTAAAGTATGTAAATATAATTAAGTTAATATATTAAACATTATCAGTGTACATCTCTGATCATTTAATCTACATCTCTAAAAGTTCATATATTTAAGCTGGCTACAAAGTTTTATTGCGGGCGGATTTTAATTGGGAAAATGGGGCATGCTCTGTACTCAGAGGCGCCTTATATTTAGGCATAGATGGTATATGCTGATGACTCACCTCCAGCCCAATTCTCCCTGCTAAACCCCATACCCAAATAACAAACAGTTTACTGATATTTCTACTTAGATGTCCCTTAGGCACTTTAAATTAAACTTGTCCAAAGTTAAGCTCACATTTCCTCCCATCTGCTCCTCTTCCTAATTCCTCTCTCAGTGAACGTCACCACCTTCATTCCGATGCCCAAGCTGAAATCTGAGTCACACTCGCCTCCAGTCTCCCACACACCTCTGTTGCTTCTATCACCTAAATCTCTCTCTTATCTGCTCACTTCTCTTAACCCCCTCTGCTTTACTCCAGGGCACCACTATCTCCTCCCCAGACTACTGTTAACAAAATCCGAACTGGTTTCATAGGTCTTGTCCCCTTCCAACCTACACTTCATGAAGCAGCCTGAGTGATCCTTCTTCTTCTTCTTTTTTTTTTTTTAGAAATTAAATTCCTGGGGATAGACCAGAATTATTACAATTTGTATGGGGAGAAGACTTTTTTTTTTTTAAGATTTTTATTTATCTATTTGACAGAGAGACAGTGAGAGAGGGAACACAAGCAGGGGGAGTGGGAGAGGGAGAAGCAGGCCTCCTGCTGAACAGGGAGCCGGATGCGGGACTCCATCCCAGGACCCTGGGACCATGACCTGAGCCTAAGGCAGACGCTTAACGACTGAGCCACCCAGGCGCCCCTAGTGATCCTTCTAAAATGCAAATCCAACGTCAATTCTCACTGCAGGATAGCTAACTCCTACCCATCTTCTTCCATTTGGCTCAATTTAGAGACCGACGCTTCTTCCCTAATTCCCCAACCCCACCCTCCCTCTGCCCCCACAAACAATTTAGTCAGGTTAGATGCTCTTACTTTTTCCCACACTCCTTATCTTTCCTCACCATAACATTCTTCACACTTCTTTGTTATAACTCTTTATCTTTCCTGCTAGACAGGGAAACTTGTCTGTCTGGATCACCATTGCGTTCCTTGAACACAGGGCAGAGCATAAGACACAGTGTTTTATAAATGTTAAATGAATGAACAAATAATTTTATCTCAGCACCCACCACAATATCTGGCAAACAAAAGGTCTTCAATAATATTTGTTGAATTAATAAGTTGTTGTGGAACTACAGATATATGGTTAATTAAGCAACGTGTAACGAGCAAAATTAATATTGTGTAGGCTTTGTCCTTAAGGAGCACATATCCTTCTTAATTAGGCTTACTTCAGAGATGGCTCCCTAGAACAGGTGGCTTTGGGAGGAGAAAGGGAGAAATAAAAATTCTTACCTAGTGAAACGTAAAGGGTGAATGTAAAAATGTCAACACCTATGTAGGAGAAAATCTTGTGTCTACGACATGGGTAACTCCTAGTTAAAATTTTCTGTGTCTAGGAAGGGTTCTATACTTGTATCTACTAGTCAGGGGGCTAGCTTTCTTCTTTGCTACCTTGGATACTGGTATTCAGCCAGGGAATCGGCTACAGAATCTAATTACTGCCAGCAATTAAACACTAAAATATATTGCCTCTCTAAAGTTGAAAAATAATCCTTTTACTACAGAGAATAAGATTCTTACCAAGTTTTATATTCATTGGCTTTATTAATTTTTCATTTAATTTTTATATCAAAGTACACTTAGAATAAATTTCACAAAAATATTTGGTCTAGTTATTTTTGGCCTGCACTTTGATAACTTATACCAACATACAATGGCCAGTCTGTTTTCTTTGCTCTAAAACTTTCTTTGTGCTCTACTCCTTGAACATGGGCCTCAGGTTCTAACTTAGATGAAAAAAGTGTTAATTTCACGAATGGCTTAATATCTCTCCATAGATTAATAGTTTAGACTACATAAAATATGTTGATTAGCAGTGTAAACGTGGATTGAAGTATTAGTTGAAAATCTTGCTGGGAGGATGAAAATGCCTAAGAAAATCTCTCAGAGATGCCTTAGTAAAGAGAAGAGAGGTTAATGAATTCAAATGCTGATTTTTAAAGAGAATATCTACCTCAGTTACATTGCAACAAGGTGAGGAATCTGAATGCGTGTGTGTGCCTGGGGTTACTTTTCTTGAACTGATACAGAATCTATAACTTTTTATTTGGGGCTCCATCTATTAGTGGCTTATTAGAGTGGGTTTAATTAAAATTGTGACTTAATCACAAGTCAGAAATACATGATTTAGTCACCCTATTTTACAGAAAGTGCTTTAAACTTTTTGACTTAACCCCGATGTACACTGTGGGCTGAGACATTAGTGGCACAGTTCACAAAGTCATATGTGAAAATCACTCTGCTTACTTTATTAGCCACAACTCATATTTCTTCAACTTGGAGATAAATTTAAACTTCATTTTAGAAGTCACATTATACATTTTATAGTTTTACTATGGAAAAATTTTCAGACTTAGAAAAGATACCTGAAAATTAACATTTGCAAGGCAATTTATAGCTTCCAAAGGGTTTTTCTCATTAATTAGCTCAGAAAACTGAATAATCACATTATTCATGATGTGATTATTAAAGGTTAATTAAGCAAATACTTGTGAAGTAATTGGGAGGTAATCTATTTCTAATTTAACAGGTCAATCAGGGGTATTTAGGAAATATTTTTGCTGGTTAACAATTCTAACCAAAACAAAAAGATATTTAAATTGTTTCCCTGGTGGAAAACAATAAGCATGTTTGTTCTTTTAGGAGTCAATTGTTTCAAAGAACTGGGATGAGGGTTCCTAATTCCACCGTTTTGATGATCTAAGAGGTTTTATGAGGAGTCTGAGCTCTTCCCTCCTAATGTTAACGCAAGCCTTACATTGCTTATTTTGGCACGTCAGAATAAAAGAAAATAGCTGAAGAAAATAATTACGAGAAGGCACGTAGGGATGTGGAAAGAGAAATAGCCATCTTCTCGTGGGAAGCAACACATTTTGGTTATTCAGAGCAGTGAACAAAAATCCAACTCATATTAACAAGACATGACTCTTGAAGCGCACAACCACACAAAGAGATTTTCTTAAATTTTCCATGGGGGCAGTTTATAAAATTAGCAGTATTCCCATCAGCAGTGTAACTACAAACTGCTTTCCCCCAACTCTGGGGAAGCCCGGGTGCTGCTTCACGATGACCAAGTGTTCAAAATCACATTCCTCTCGCTCCCGGTTTACCGGCGAAAGACGTGATCTCCAGATTTGAGAGAGCGAAGTGCTCCGCAGAGGTATAGGTAAAAGGTTCGCTACAGCCAGAGGATCAGCCCCGGGGAGCCCTGGGGCTCAGCCTCGGCCCCTGCTCGGGCTGGAGGGGTGGACACCGGGCACCTTTGTTTGCGCCCTGCTTCCCTGGAGCCGGGCCGAGCGACGCGGGTGGAGGCGCGGGCCCGGCGGTCCGGGCGGGCCCCGGCCCTGTCCCGGGAAGCGCGCGGCGAGGGCGGCCCGGCCTGGAAGCTGGTCAGCGGCGGCGCGGTGGGCCCCCTCCCACGGGAGCCGCGCCAGGTCCCAGCAAGAGCCGGGCGGGATCGCTATTGTTTTTGGCGAGCACATAAAGCCCCGCGCCGACCCTCTGCGCACCCAGGTTTCCTCCCGGAGGCCATTCGGTTTCCTCTGAGGCCCTATATAGAGGCCCTGGGCCCAGGCTGAGGAGAGGTGCGCTCCCGCTCCGGCCTCCCGGACTAGCCTGAGCTCGGAGCGCTTCTCGCCCCAGGTCTCCGCAGCCCGAGGCGTCAGGGGAGGTGAGAAGGGGGTGTGTGGATTTCTCCCTGGGGCTAGGAGCAGGCGGCGGGGGCGCGCCGGGACTAGGAGCTGCGGCGAGCGGGCGGCCGCGGGGAGGAGAAGGAGGATCCGCTTCTCCGGGGTTTCCCTGACGCCAGCAGCAGCGCCCGGCGCGCGCGCCCCGCTCCCGTCCGCGGCACCGGGGAGAGGGGGGAGGGGAGCGGCCCGCCGCCGCGGCCCGCGAGGCGGCAGCCGGGATTGGAGCGGGGGCGGGCCGCGCACGGAGCCGAGGGGGTGCGGGCGAGGGAGGCGCGCGCTTGCGCGTGCGCGGGTGTGCGCGCTCCGGGCCCCCGCCCCCCACCCCCGCCGCCTGCGGTCTCCGCCCCCCTCGCACTGGTGTGTGGAGCCGGAGTCGGCGGCGGGTGGCGGCGCCTGGAACCTGGAGACCGACCCCCCCCAACCCCGGCCCGGAATGTACTGACTCCCCCCTCTCTGCTCTTCTCCCCTCTCCGCCCCCCTGCAGGAGGGAGGCGCCCCCGAGTCTCCCCTCCCGCGAGAGGGGCCGCGCGGGCCGGGCCGGGCGGAACAGTGGCGGCGGCGGCCGCGGGAGCCGAGCCTGCAGCGAGGGACCGGCTGAGGCGCGCGGGAGGGAAGGAGGCGAGGGCTCCGCGGCGCTGCCGCTGCCGCCGCCGCCACCGCTGCCGCCGCTCGCGGGGCAGAGATGGCGGCGGAGCGGGGAGCCCGGCGACTCCTCAGCACCTCCTCCTTCTGGCTCTGCTGCCTGCTGCTGCTCGGGCGCCCGGCGCCCGCCGCGGCAGCCAGGAGCGGCTCCCCGCCGCAGTCCCCAGGTAAGCGGGGGGCGCGGGCCCGGGAGGCGCGGGGTGGGGGCGGGGGCGCGGCACCCGCACCCGTACCGGTGGCTGCGGTGTTTTTGTTTAGGATCCTGGAGGAAACGTGCAGGAACTTCTCTGCCTCGGCACCGGTTGCCAAAGAGAAAGGGGGTCGCGCTAGGTGGAGAGTGAAGTAGGCGGGCGGGGACACGGCCGGGGAAGGGGCGGCCGCGGGGGCACGTCGGGGGCTCCCGGGTCTAGTTCTGTGCTTTGTACCCGGAGGCAGGTTCACCCCTCGCCTTCCTCCCCTCCCCCAGGCTCATCCCACTTGTAAGAGTGGGACATTCTTGTGCTCACACAAGCACCAGTAGAGGCCACTACACACCTCATTAAATAAACAATCGCACGGCCAATTCATTAATTTTCAGGAAAGGAAGGGGGAGGGGGGCTTGAACTCCGCATTCCCTGGCTAGGGATTTCCCAGCTGAGGTCCCAGGGGAGCGCTGGCTGGTCTCGAGGGACACATCGTGCGGGGATTGTAGCCCCGAGGCTGCGGAAGAGTGAGGGTGTCTGAGGGGCACAATTGCCCCCTCACAACCGCTGGTGTTGACTTAACGATGAGGGCGACTTGGAGAACCGCTCCAACTGATTATATCTGTTAGTGTTTCCGTTATGAAATGCCTCTCCTTTCCTGGGGATTACAACTATATTTACAGCCTGGTAACTGCTCTTAACCTAGGGAATTGTCTAAGCATCGGATTTTAAGTACTTTATGTTTCCAGGTGCAATGTATATATTTAGCCTGAAAAACTGTTTTTAGGTGTTATTTTTAAATATCATAGATTATTGAAATTACTTGCACCCCTATTTATTTAAGGGGGCCAAGCCTGCCTGGAGAAGACCTTACAGTGTAGTTGATCGGGACACACTCAGCAGTTGAAGGGCAAATTAACATGCAATCTGTTTAAATTGTTTGACCAAGGTGGTGTATTGTAAAACTTGACAAAACTCTCACCTACTAGTATGAGATCTGAAATTTTTGCATTTGAACGTCATCTGATCAGGCACAGTGGCAGCTTCTAATCGCCAAGCCTTTACTTGTTTTTTGGATTCATACTGAATAATACTTAAAATCACACTGCAAATGTAACAACTGATTAAACTTTCTTTTGATTTTCTTGCAGAGTATTATTAGCTCACGGCTTTTGCCAACGTTAAAAAGCTTTAAACCTGAATACCGATAGGCATTATCTAAACAGCGTTATAAACAAGAGTGTTTTAGTATCAAACCTGCACTTGCACACTCAGCCTGTACCTGGGTTAGAATACACATTTTGGGCCTGAAACGTAGGTTTACTGATCCAGCCTTTCTGTTCTTGTGGATGGGCAAGAGAAATGTAACTATTTGGGAAAGACAGATTCCTTCCTACTCTTAATTTTATGTGTAATTCATATTATGTATGTTTTAGGTAATTGGTGGTGTTTGTTTAGAATTTTGTCAGTAATTTTGTAAATAAATAACATAATTTTATTAGGTTAATAAAAGTCATGTAAGCAGTCTCTTAGAAGTGATTGAAACGTATATTTCAACATTGATTCAGTTGATGGGCTTTTATTTTGCGATGATAAGGTGCAGGCATTGCTTAAATGTGTGTCCTGTCTTCATGGAGCTTCCAGTCTGGTGAGTGGGTAGGAAGATAGCCATTAACTACTAATTAAGTAAGTAAGTAAGGTGATAAGCACTAGAAAGTAGAAGAATGGGTTTTGAGAAAGTATACTGCCAGGACCTAACCTAGTCTGGGTGTCAGGGTGTCTGAGAAGTGAGATCCGAAGGGTGAGGAGGACTGGAGGTGGGGAGGCTCACAGCTAGTTAGTGGTATTAGTAGGGACTTGAGTACAGATCTGATTCTTGGTCCAGAGTGCTTTGCACAAGCCAGCCTGCTTTATTTCTCATTTCTGCAATAAGAAGGGGCTGGTCAGTTCTGTCATAAGCTGCAGAGAGATCGAGGGAATTGAGAACTGAGTAAGTGGCAACTGAAACAAGTGGTCAGTAGATCCCATGTCATTTGTCAGTGGTTTTAATTTTTTATTTTTGAAGAGTGATAGACTCAAACCTTTCTGCGGGGGATTACAGTGAGTAGGTGGTAGGGGGATGGAGGTATTTGGTAGAAAAGGGAGAAAATTAGGGTGTGGGACAGCGGGTTAAATGGAGTGGTTTTCCAATTTAGGGTGACGTTGAGGAGGACAAAGGAGGGAGATGAACTAGTGATAGAAAATGGTCAGCTGTAGAGGGTTGGAAATGATTAGGCACACTGTCTGGTTTTAGGAAGGAAGGAAGGGAAGATTTCTGAAAAGATGGGTAGGGACCTAGGGAAAGAAGTCAGGACAGAGCAGCCTGCCTTTGCGGTGCAAGTCTTCTCTAATCAGAGTGAGGGTTAAGGAATGGTGATGGGGTAGAATTGAAATGCAAGAACGGGAAAGTAGGGAAGTCAGTGTTGAGAGCTCAGTTGAAATCAGTTTGAATTTAAAGTAGACCAGATGAGCTATTTCCACACTTTCTCCAGCAACTTTCTGTACGCCAAGAGCAGAATTAGTGAAGTTTAAATCCAGTATTGGTTGCTTATGAGTTATATGAAATATGTAGAAACCTTTTAAAAAACTTTTACTAGAGTAATCGAATATTCCATTCTTGGTCAGAATGCAAAAATGTGTTTGATGAAATGTCCTACTGGTGGTGAGGCTAACCTTGCTCTAGACTTCAGAGGTGTACTGTAGCTGCATTTCTCCTTTAAGGGAAGAATCCTCTTGTCATCATCCCACATAGATGACGCTCTCTGTCTGAATCATTTACTTGATGATGTGATTTGTTACCTCACAAGGTGGTCTGTTCCCATTTTGAATAACTTCTGCCCATAAACTTTGCTTTATGCAGCACATTTAACTTTAATTTTCGACCTTCTCTTCTTGATTTCTTTTTCCTTTTCTCTTGCCTTTTTCGGCATCACTCTGTTAATTCGTCTCTTACTTTTGTGTTCAGTTCGTTATTTGTTACTCAAGTTTTTCTTTTATTCCCTTATTAAATGTTGGCATCAAACTTGATCTCCTTCTGTCTTGGCTTCAGTTGCTGCATGTAAGCTAATGACTCTCCTAGTCCACTCTTCTTCACGTGCCATTCAGTAGCTTCACTGAATAGGCCCCTTACTTAACCAAGACCAAAGGTAAACTCATTTTTGCTCCCCTTCCCTCCTCCTTCACTCATCCCCTTTCTCTAGACAATAACAAACCAATTCCTGGCCCTGGGCTTTCACATTTTTGAATGGTTGCATAGACTTGTCTTCCTGCATTACCTGTCTTGGGCATCTTTGTGTGCCATTCACCCAAGTTGAGATCTAGAAGTCATCCTGGACCCTCCCCATTCCCTCATTCCTATAGCCTATACTTCTGTTTGATTTTTACCCTCCCCATTCCCTCATTCCTATAGCCAATACTTCTGTTTGATTTTTACCTCCTAGATATTTCTTGAATCTGAATCTTTTCATCATCATCCCCACCTAGACTAATAATAGTGGCTTTGTAATTCATCTGTCTCCACTGATACCCTCCAGACATCTGTTTTCCCGCTGGAATGAGTTTTCCTATGTCCTTTTCTGAGCATGCCATCCTCCTACTTAAAATCTCCTATTAGTGTTCCACAGCTTGAGTGTTAGAGTCTAAACTCCTTGGCCTGAAGATTGTGAAGCCTTTTGTGTTCTTTACCACTGGCCTCTCCCACCCCGAATTTAAAGCCTCATCTCTTGGCACCTCTAATGTGTACCTGGTGTTCCACCACTTCTGGTTTATTGCAGAGCTTCATGTCCCCATGCCTTTGACAAGCTGTCCTTTCTTCTTCTTTTTTTTTTTTTTTGTCCTTTCTTCCTGTTAATGCCACTTCCCACCTTGTCTGCTTCTGAAATTCCTATTCATCATTTAGTGAATTTTTTTCTGCTATCCCCCTGCCCAAAGAGAGAGTTGTTATTCTCCGTGTTCTCATAGCTTTAAATCTTGTATTATGTATTTTCTTGTCTCCTCAACTTGTCTGAACCTCTTGAAGATTGGGACTTCTCTTATTTACCTTTTGTATACCTAATGTAGCAGAAGCATCTGGACCAGAGTGGATAACCAGTAAATGTTTGTTGAAGGAATGTTGAATTGCCTTTGTTTTTACCTTTTAGGGCCATATAGCACAAGTCTGATTTCCTTGTATGATGGCCTTTCACGTGTCTAATGACAACATTTGTGTGTGTGCAAGTATGTCACTTTCCCCTCTATTCCTTTAGCCACTCTTCACATTACTTACTTTTCTGGCCCGTTGTGAGTTTGGTCATCCTCCTCTGGATATGCTGCAGTTTTAGTCTTTATTAGTTTTGTCATCTTTGGAAAGATCAATGATTTTACTGAGTCTTCTGTAAACAGAGACTGATGCCCTGCTCTGCTTGCCTAACAGGATGAGGTATAAAAGAATTTGTAGATTTCCAGGCAGAATGTTCAAAGGAGATAAAAAATATTGCTATTCTTAGACTGTATGAAAATTAGTGTGTAATGTGGGATAGTGAAAAAAGACTTGAGGCAGAGGATTTGGGATTTCACTCATGGTCCATACCTGCTCTTGTATCTGTTGGGGGCTATAGGTAACCTTGCTTTTTACCTAACTGGATTGTCAGAAAAATGAAATATTAAACTGCTTATAAACTGAAAAGTGCTGTATCTTTGTGGAATGGTTTTAACATTTCTCTTATGAACTTTTAAAAAATACTGCAATTCTATTAAATTTTTTCAAAGTGTAGATTTTTTTCTGTTGGCTTAATTGATCATTGTTGATTTCTTCTTTATGAGTTTTCTTTACACTAATAAAAAAATACTGGGGTAACATTAATCTCATTATATATGAAGGCTGTAGGCCCTATTTAATAGTCTTTTCCCAAACACTTTATTTTATTAGTGACTTCTGTGTGGTTGCAAGGTATTTACCATGTCATTGG